CCGACAAGGAAGCACCCTCCGAACTATCGTCTCCGCTTGAAAGCCCTCATGGCTTCCCAAAGTCAACTTCCGCGTCAGGGGGAGACATGAAATTGACTTTCGCGGATGAGGACCCCAATTATATTTTACAGAATTTTGTGGAAGAACGCGTGACAGTGGAGGAAGGCAAAGTGCTCGTGAGTGAAATGATAAGCGTAAATGTGGGTGCGGAAGCGGAAGCATGCGGTTGTATGGATGAGGTATCGCGGAGGAGTGTAAGAACGTTGATGAGCGGAAGTAGAGGTGATTTTTCATTTGATGGTGCCGAGAAGGACATTATCTTGGGTGACTTGGAAAAGGATGGAAGTGTCTTTCCTGTCTTTGATAATCTATCTCTTCCCTCGATTGAATCTACCATTCCTGTTATAGACGCTTCGACATCCATGCGAGCCTCAGATGGGAGTTCAAGCAGCTTGTTGGAGAATCAAGTTGGAACTGTTGTTGCATTGTTACAAACGGAGGACCACGTTATTAGTCATGCTAGGCAGATTCGAGAAATATCGACATTAGCAGGTCGCTTTGACGATACCACATATTACCAGCAGCCTGCGATAGGATATGCCGAAAAAGAGGATGAATATGTCCAGCATCCGAGCGATGGGACTCTAATCGGAACAGAATCGTTTTCCACAGAACCTGGTGTTGTCACAGATTCGACAGCACTCGTCGAAGAGGAAAACTTGCAACCGGGGCAGACTGAAGAGACGATGTATGAAGAAGCAGTAGGATTACAAGCACGTGACATTGCGTTTTCCGCTGAAGATGAGAACGAAATGGCCACTACTTCTCGCGCAGAACCTACTTTTGAGGAAAGCCCTACTGAACAATATGCAGAGATTGAGGTAGACACATCAAGCCAAGCGAACAACTTCATGCAGCTTACAGAAGAAGAACTAGCACATATAGCTCATATGTTGAAAATTGCAGAAGAGACCTCTTTTGGAATGCCGGCTTTGAGAATGCCTTTCACATCGAACCGTAGCGAAATAGTCAAAATCACTCGATTTGGTGTAAGCACTCCATTGCAAGGCACAAGAATCTCGGAAGAAAGTTTGGATGAAACATCGGAGCTCGTTCAAAAACAATCTTTTGATCACTCCACTGAAAATGATATCTACCACACTGATGCACAAGATAAGATCACAGCTATCATTGAAGAACTTACAACCGATGAGCTCATCCGAGATGCATTGGATCACACTCCATATGTTCAGGATATCGTAGAAATACCCTTAGAATCATGTGTCGACACATCCACTACACATGCCGCGGATGTTACTGCACCAACAGTAGCATCCGAAACCGGAGCTCCGAAGGTCCACGAATATCAGGACATG